AGAATGTCGAATTAGTGGTTCTTGGGATTCTGTAGGCTGCAGTGATAATAGAATTTTGTATTGTTTGTAGTTTCTTGAGATTTGTTTTTGCTATGTTTAACCATGCTGAGCAAACGTATTCAACTACGGGTCTTATGTATTGTTTATATATTTTAATAATCTTTTATGAGTATGCTCCTGTGTGTTTACCTGTAATTCTGTTAAGATAGTTTGCTCGTTGCCATGCTTTTTGTGTAGTTTCTGATATGTGTTTTATCCATTTTAATTTGGAATCATAAGTTAGGCCTAAAATTTTGCTGATGGACTGGTATCTAGAAGAGCTCCGTTCAGATATAACTTCGGGAGATTTCTGCGTAATTTTAAAGACTTTGAAAATAATATTACTTTTGTTTTTGGTATGTTAATTTTGATTCTGTATTTTTGACAATATTCCACAGTTTGATTTAGAACTGGTTGTAAATTATTTGCTGCTACTGAGGATGTATTTGAGCTTTTTCAGATAGGCGCGTCATCAGTAAATTGTTATGTCGAACTATAATTTGAGCATTTTAAAGGCATGTCGCTTACATACATGATGTATAGGATAGGACTAACAACCCCTCCTGGAGGAACATCCGCCTCTGGAGTAAAATACTTTGAGTAGGCGCATTTTTTCTCATTAAAACTGTCTATTACGGTTTCACTAAGCATAACTCAATGATTTGTTGTTTGCGGAAATTTTCTGAAACCATTTTGTACTTCGGGTAATTTTGAAGTGATATTTAGGAAATCTGAGATCCTATTACTTATTATTCTTTCTAAAATTTTGCCTAGACAGCTAGTTAAACTAATGGTCGGTAGTTTTCTGGCTTATTTGCTGGTTTTCCTTCCTTCAAGAACATTAATATACTTGCATGTTTCCCGAATTTAGGGATATATTAAATATTGCAGTTAGGTGGTCAAACAATTTCTGAGTACCTTTCTTAAAAGTATAGATTGTATTTGGTCACTCATGGTGCTTTATTTTTAGTTTGTCTTATAGCTAAATATTATTTCAGGTTTGGTAATTGTTTTGATGATTTGTTGCGCTAAATCGTTATTATTAGTTTGTGTGTTCGTAATTGTGGCCGGGCATTTTGGTGTATACATTTCTTGATTGTTTTTACATATTCGTTTACTTTATTATAAAAGTGGTTGTTCATGTCCGGTTCTTGATGTGTTTTAAAAGTTTTTTGTAACTGTTCTTTAAAAGCTTCGGCTTTTTTTGTTTGTTTCTGTATACAATTTTGTTATTGTAATGTAGTGTCGGGTATTTATATGTATTTTTATTGTTTGTAAATCTTTTTAAGTGTGTCCAAATTTTCTTAGAGTCGGTATAATCATTTAGTTTCAAACATGCCGCCCTCGTGACCCAGACTTGACCAGGAACACGAAATCCAATGCCAAGTTTGGACTTACTAGCTTCATAACTGTTGGAAGAATTACCTCAAGATACATACATATAAAGCTACAAACTGAATTAATTTAAGATACTCATAGATTACTCAAAACATTGTTAAGCAAAGATTCTACGCTTTATGAAATTTTTAGACAACAGAATATTGTGTTTAGTGAAAACTAAATTTTTGTACGTACGGTAAACTGAATACTTTTAGTGAAACTTTGAAATGACTATGTGTGCTAAAAATGAGCTTGACGATAAGTGAATTATTTTTCCAAACCACTAAGCATCAGATAAAAAAAAAATTCTACATCATTCTCGTCAAATCAAAGTTCGTAAGATCCATTGTAAAACAAAACTGTATATAATTTTCATGTATTATAGTGAAAAACATAGTACCTTCAAAACACAATAAAATAGTCGTGTGAATGTTTGGTATCTGATAAAGTTTTCACTTACGATTTTCTAAATTTGTTATTAATATCAAGTGTTTTTTGAAACCAAATAATTTGTTTTGATTACATTTATTTAGGTTATAATGATGTTATGCATAATTTTCAAGGAGGACATAACATATCAATCTGTTTTCAAATAAGTCTAGACAAATATGTAGCGGTAAAATTTGGTTCAATTTATTTATACTTTCTTATTGTTTCTTTATTCTTCATAGTAAAGCTACTATTTTTATAAATTTTATATTACAAACTAAAATAAATATAGCTTTCACTCATTAAGGTTTGTTTGTTTTGTGGCACAAAGCCACATTGGGCTATCTGCACTCTGTCCACGGGGGGGGGGGGGGTATCGTACCCCCGGATTTGAGCGTTCTAAGTTTGTAAATTACCGTTGTCTCACTGAGGGAACGCTCAGTAATGAATAAAATAGTGTCAAATATAATGCAATGAGGTTGACACAAAAAATTCAGAAATTTAGGAATAAGATTCCCAAAATTGCTTTTATTGTAAAGAATGGAAATATAACTGGTTTTACACATATATGTTTATTCTGATATTAAATATATATATATATATACATACACGTGTAATTTATGAATGAATCACCCCAAATAAATATTTTACTTCAAATAATTATTTCTTCATTTTATGACTGGAAAACTTATATTTGGAAGGAGTTTCTTTTGTGGATTCTAAAAAATGAAAATAAGAATAACACAAGAACATCGAAGTCAATAAGATCAAACACAAGGAAGCCATTTTTAATTTAGAAAGTGTAACATATATTAGTCTTTCATTTCCTTGTAATTGTAGAGCTCTTTCTTTCCCTGATCACATAATTTCCTGGCAAAATTGCTACTTTCACAAGGACCAATTAGCTTGACATTTATGGCTTCTTCTATCCCCTAGCGGTGTCAGGCTTGAGAAGTTATACTACAGTCACGAAAATCCAAAACGTTACTATATTCGTTCGACTAATTTGTTAATGCTGAACAAATGGCTATATAAAGAAGACCATGCTGTTCGTTCATGACGTAAATGTGTATTGTCAGGAATTTAGAAACGATGAGTTTGAAAATTGAAGCCATAACAAAAAGGAACTCGTAGCCAAGCTAACTATGATGTTAGTAATGCTTGGAGACGGCTTGAATGGGTAATGAAGAAAAACTTTAATATAAGTCATGACAGCAAATGTACAACGTTTCGACAAGGTTTTGTCATCATCAGGTGATGTTGCTTTCGAAAAAAAAATTAAAAGAGGCAAAGTTTAACAATTTTTACTTATTAATTCAATTGTGTTTCTCATTCACTTAAAATACGTAGCACTGAACATACAGAGAACAACTTTGCTAATGACTCAGATTCTTGGATCTATTTCTATTTTCGAGAAATAACATAGCCACTACTTTCTTTAACGCCACACAGTTACATTATTTACACTACAGAGTAAACTCTATATTTTATAATAATAGCTAGGGCTGAGTGTGACGAAATGGCTAGCTTGACTTGATTTGTTTGTTTGTTTGAA